ATATAATATATATATATATATATATATCAGCACATCTTCATACATCTTTGTGTGTTTACGTGCTCCAATTGTACCCAATGCGTTGTACTAGCGCATTGCGTTTTGCGCATCGAACTGGAGCACGTTACTTCCCCATGAAATGTACAGATGAAAATATCAAGTTTAGCAAGGCGCTCCGTGTGATGATAGCGCATCAGCGGTTGCGGCTTTGGTCATTTTCAAGAAGTGGAAAGCCCGAAAAGTGTGGGCTATGAGCAGAGGAGCTCGTCATCTGCACACCGCAGCACACAGACACAAACGCGCTGTATGTGCATGTGGAGGCAGTGCAGGCGCTTGCTTAGACACAATGATAATATGAATTTAGGGCTTAAGGTGTATGCACGATGCCTCCACGCAGGCAGGGCTGGTAGGCGCTTGTCTGCTATGCAATATGTTAGCCGCTCACTACCACCAGCAGCAACAAAAGTGGAAACAGAAGTAGCAACAGAAAACAATACAATGGTGCAATATATTAGGCATATGAATGCAGGGATGCATGAGAGCAAACACACGTTTTAGCCGATCTGTGTAACATCCCACCGGCACCATAACAGCTTATCCTCATGGGATACAGTGATACATGTAAGCAAACAATAACAATACGGCCGTACTTGGCGACTGAACTATGGTAGGCAAGGGGACAGAGACAGAGGACCCTGATGGGAGCATGCACTTCATAATTGCTTCGAAAAGCTTGGACTGGGAGTTGGCCATCGCACTATCCAGGGCTACAGACAACACCTAGCAAGAACGAATATCTTCTACCTGTTTATTTCGAAGGCCAGTTGTAGCAATTCCGCTAACAGGGTGCATCTCGCTGCAGAAAAACGAGCTGCTGGAGCTCGGGGAAAAGGAGGTGTAGGAAGAGGCAAGTGGCAGCAGTTGTAGAAGCAAAACCTTAGGAGCTCACCAGAAGCCGCTTGATCTGCTGCGAATTTCGGGCTGAGGAGAGCAGAGAACTTCCAAAGACCCAATGTGTTGCCTTCAAAAGCAAGGTGTTCAGGGGCTGCTACTTGCAGCTCCTGAGAAAAACAAAACGGCAAGAAACCAGCCGAAGGAAACACAATTTACTTAAAAAAATAGAAACACCAACAGCTGATTCCCTTGTCTTGTTATGGGGAAAATCTAACCGAATTCATAAACCCAAAGCCCAAAAACGCACACCTACAAACCTAAACGACCCAACCAAGAGGCTGCAAGAGAAACCATAAAAGCTAAATCCAAAGCTCGCATAAAAGGTGTGCTGGCTTTTATCACTTGGCCGTTCGCATGGATGTACAGACACGGCGGCTTATATGCGGTTATAGGAGGCACCAGCGGCCCCGGATGAACAATGACACGGACAACCAGAACAGAAGCAACTGCAGCTACTGCAGTAGTATCACCACCGGTTGCTTCTGCTGCTGCTATTGCTGTTGATACGTCCGCCGCTTGTGAGCGTGCCGCGGCTGTTGCTGCTGCTTCAAGTGGCTAGAGAGTTCACCAGCAGCTCACTGCTTGCATAGAGGAGAGGACTTCTGCGCTGCAGATTTGCAGTCGACTATCCATCTCTGATTGACTGCCTAGGTTGACCCCAGCAGGGAGGCTGAAGGAATATATTTCTGAATTTTGGAAACCAGCACAAAACGCAGCAAAATGATCCCGATAAGCTCTCTACCATCGGGTGTATGGCTCCCTGTGTTCATTCAAAGGGACACAGCAATGCGCTGGGTGTACCGACACCCGTACTCCCACAGAGCAGACAGGTAAAGTGCTCACCAGAAATGGGAGAAGAATACAGAAGACACAAACCAGGGTACAACAGTCAGCTGTCATTCCGAGCACACATTAGCCATACGTTCAGCAATAACAGAAATAGCAGCTTTAGCGGCAGTAACAGTAACAAAACAGGAGCAGCACTAGCGGCAACAGCAGCGGCATCAGCAATAGCAGCATCCGCAAACAGCAAAGGCAACACAATCAAAGATAACAGCAACATAGCAGAAATAGCCGGAGAAGAAGGGGCAGTAGCAAGAGTAGCACGATCAGCAGCACTAGAAGTCGCAAGACGTAAATCGCACTTGACTGCCCCGTGCAGTTCCTCTCTTCTTCTAGAGGAGGGCAGGCCGAAGGCCTGGCGACGCCATCCGTGTTCTGTGCAAGCGACAAATGCAAGGATTCCTACACCCTGCTTCTGCTACTGCTATTAACGTCTTTACTGCTGATGCCCCTGCTGCGGGTGCTGCTTAAACTCAAGGCGACTTGAGAATCAGCTCATAATCGAGGCAACCCAGCCAGCAGAAAGAAACACGGGATGGTACTTGGGAGGTCCTGTGGTTGCTGCTGCTGCACGTGCATCATTAGCAACCTCCACAACTGCCTGCCCTTCCACCTCCGCAGGAACCAACAGCACTTAGCAGCCTCGCGTGATGCTTTGGTGCTTGGATGCAGCTGCTGCTGGCTTACCAATATGGTGCGCGTTCTTTTCGACTTGAGCGATGTGCAGCTGCTGTCACAAACAGTCCACTCCGTCCACTCGGAAACCTTGCAGTCGCAGGCTGCAAATGACAACTTTGACCCGAGACCCTTAGTTATACAGCCTTGTGCACCATGTCCCACGCAACCCCTCTTGCCTGCTAAACCAACTACCCTACACCGTCAACCCTAAAGCCTAAAACCTGAACAGTAAAACTTAAACCGTCTTCGCCAACACTAAGTCCTAAACTCTATACGCGAAATCATAAGCCCTGGATCTTTCGCTCACTCTTTGGGGCGTCAGGGCCCAAAAGCACACACATGTCCACCGGCTTTGTCAGCGTGTCCGCTGCAGCGCAAAGTGCACTAATCACTGTAGTGTCCTACACTGTGCACCCTCCAATTTTTCACGTGTTTCTATTGGAAAACTAGACGAAGTACGTCCACCTCTAGTCTCTAAGCGCTAAGGAACAGATCCCTGGCAAGCCACAGAAACCTCAAGTCCGGAGCCCCAAACCCTAAACCCAAATAATCTAGGTGAGACAGCAGCAGCGCGCACGCGTTGCTTTGTACGCCTGGAGTAGGAATGGCGTTTTAGCATCTAGCCCTGGAAGAATTTCGTCGAGAATAGCGTGCGTGGGATCAGCACTGTCCCTAAGTTTACCCGCCAGCACTGCAGCCACAAACACCACAAGGGTTTAGGATTCAGGGTTTGAAGGGACAAGAGCCGAAGCGCTCCATTCCATACGCATCTTTAGACTTCAGTGAGCCTTTGAAGAGTCTCGGCAGGTGCGTCGGTGCAACTCAGGAGATTGCATGCATGTTGGACCGCTACAGGAATTTGGATCACATGCCTTGATCAGAGAATTCAGACAAGACAGCCTTAGCTTGTCTCCTTCCTTTTATTCTTTTTAACTAGCATTAAACATCAACAAGATAAGACAGGATACACTGCCCTCTAGTACTCGCGCCGAGAAAACAAAATATAAGCTGCTGCAGCAGCAATGAGTGGGGACAAGCAATATTGGAATTATGTGAAAACATTTAAGCCAGATCGGTCTTCTTTGTACTCCTAGTGAGGCCTCCCACCACATCAGCAAGGCACGTTCCCCCCTTAATCCACTTACATATTCATACCGATAAAGGCATACACGCATGCATATATCGTTAAAAGCATAGATATGGTATGCATGCATAGGTATGCGCCTTAATGCAGATGCATGCGCATGTACGTATTCAATATTATATATATATATATATATATA